TCCTTTCTTTAACTCACCGGTCCTCTTTTCCTCGTTTTAGGTTTGGCCATTGGGTGGTTTTAGCACGATTCCTTGCCCTCGCTTTTTTTTTTTTATCTCACCACATCGAACTTATCGCTCTTTCTTTGATCTGTTTTGATAGATTTTCTGATGGTTTGTTTCAAGCAAGCTTTCTCTTCTGGAGGCGACGAGCAATTGGTAATTCTTGACGATCGTTACCAACCGGACGACAAAGGAACCGTCTTGACGATTTATGCCCCCCTTATCGGTTCTTACGCAAAGCAATGGCCACGTCTCACGACTCCGAATCGCATGTCCGTTTGGTCCCACGAGCATCCTCATAATAAGTACGAGTACGTGTACAGTTTGCGAGCATCAAATCATAAACCCGACAGATCCTCGCTTCCAGAAGAGTCAAGCAGTCCGAGCCTTCTGCCGACTTTGGCTGGCAACATCGTGAAAGGAAAAGTCAAGTGGGGAGATACTCTCGAGCTTTCCGGCGGCTTTCAATTCTTCAGAGGGTACTGGGAATGGACCGAAGACGTTCTCAGTCGTTGCCAGCACAAGCTAAAGTCCGCGAAGATCTATGATTCTGTATATGCCTCCCTCTTCACGTACGACTACAACTCTGAAATTATGAAGGCGTTCTTCGAGGCATGGTGTCCGACTACAAATACCCTCTTGACGTCTCCTGGAGAAATGTCTATCTCTTTATGGGACTTGCACATCCTCTCCGGGCTACCGTTAACCGGGCTCTTTTACGATGGAGTTGTCCCTACCTCTCAAGAACTCGTTGGTTCCGATGCAAAGGGTGTTCGATATTCTCACCGTTCATGTCGACATCTATTCCATGCCTACCACTTACTTCGGAAGCGCTCTAAAGGTCCGTCCTCCAATGTCTCTGTCGAAAGATGGATTCAGTTTTGGTTGAAGAAACAGAAGAAATACACTCAGCCTCCTCCGCGCAAAGAAAAGAAGGGTGTTCGCCCCAAGTCAACTCACAATCCTTCCGGCAATATTGAAGCACATGCAAAATGGATCAACATTGAAGAAGCTGTGTTTTCGAGCATTAGCGTTGATGTCGAACTGAGGCTCGAGACATACTTGGCGGCCCATTTGGCTTGTTGGCGTTGCACCTTCGTTCTCCCCACCGATGATGTAGGCATGATACGTCCTTCAACGTTCAAGATGGCTAGCATAATGGCGAGTGGCGAATAAGTCTCTCTTGCAGTTCCTGTCTTAGCAAGCATCTTCAACGGCATAAATAGGATTTCGAGATCCTTGAGACCCCATCAAGAGAACTCTCCGTTTCCTATTCACTTCGTCTATAGTTGGTTGGCGCTTTATTTCAAGACCCATTGTCAAGTTCTGCAAGGCGTAGCCGTCGATGGCCCAAAAATGATATCTTATTCCGGAGAAGGAAGCGCTAGATACTATACTCCCGCGGATGCACGCAAACGGATTCACAAAGGAGATCTTATGTCTTGGACTTGCACCACGATCCCTAGGAGCGAGTCTTCTTTATATGTTGATGATGGAACAACAAAAGGGTCCGAGAGAAATTATTTCATCGCCATTCGCTCGAGCTATCTCTCCTTGCGGCGTGGTAATCGTTTCGTTATTGAGCCATATAGTCCTCATCGGTTTAGCCGTCAATTTGGGTTTTATCAAGATGTGCCGGGAGTACTTGATGAAGACGTTCGCGAGGCTTCTTTAATAGATGGACTCCGTTATTGGCGTCTATGTGTTTTGCTCGAGTCCATGTCTAAAGTGATATTTTCCGTCGTTCCTCAAAATCCAAGGAAGTTTCACATGGACGGCTATAAAAGATGGTGGACTGAAGCTTACGGAACTTATCTTGAAAATAAAGTTGCGAGTTTGGTGAACTTGGAGTTAAGTAAGATTCCACTTGAAGACAAAGAAGATGAGGCAAGAAATAGTCTCGGCAATCTTTCTCGCGAAAATGTGCTCCAAACCAAAAACCCTCCTAGAGATATAAAGAAGAGGAACGTTTTGCCTCCATCGGATGAGAGTGACGATAGCCACATAGAACGTCATTGGAAAAGGCCGAAGAGGGACCCGCAATCTTCAAAACCACAAGATCTTCATATTGATAACAGTGTGGACAGTCATTCTCGAACAAATGACACTTTTGCTGAGAAGGTTGCACTTAACACTTTCCCTTTTTTTTTTTTTTTTTTTTTTTTATTATTATTATTTTGTCTTAATGATAATTTTTTTTTAGTTGGAAAACGAGATAATTAACGTTGATGATCGCGAGGAATCTCAAGCTAGTCATCACTCAACTGCCAGGGCTTGCTCAATGGGTGCAACTTTGTCGCCGACTGCTTTGATGCCTGCCAGAACATCCAAGATGAAAGAGACTGCGAAAGGGTCGTACAATGGTGCTTGTTCAGTTTTCGTGGGTGAAAATTTTCTGAAAAATAACAAGCGGGTTTTTCTTCGCCAATTATGGCAAGATCTTCGTGCGAGGATAGTACGGACTTCCATTGATTCCATCTCGTCTATTCAAGAAGATGTCCAATTAGTTCTTGGAACCATGAGGGATCTTGGTGATTTCGACATATCTTGCATAGAGGAATTATTGAAGTCATTATTTTCCCAGGCGACGGCTTATGATAAGGTGAGGTCATCGAACTCTGAGAAGGCATCTAAAGAGATTCTATCACGACAATTAGATGAGGCTAAAGATCGTTTGCATACTACTCAAGCTAGAGAACACAAAGAGACTCTTAAAGTTCAAGTCACCAATAATGATTTGGAGAGTGTCAAGAAAGAGCGTGCTGCTTTGAAGGTGGGGGTGGGACAGTTGAGATCATCATTAAAGCGACAACGAGAACTCCTCCATACTGTTCAAACTGAAATTCGTGAGATTAACAAAGAGATTGTTGCCATTGAAAATACATCCCCTTTAAGTGATGATTTGGTAGAAGAATTGCGCGCTTCTGCCGAGCTTCTAGAAGATGCCAAAGGAAAGTTGAACGATTTAGACCCTTTCGCTTGAGCTAGATTTAGATTTTTTTTTTTTTTTTTTTTTTGTTTATTTCACTTTTATGACTCATGAAATAAAAAAAAAAATCTCCTTTTCCATCTTGCTCCCTTAGTATTCTGCACTTGTATTTTTCAACATTTTTTTTTTGTAGAAAAGGACTGAACTTAGAGAATATCTAAGCTGCCTACGTACCCCGAAAGGGATCAAGTCATAACGTAGTTCAAAGAAAAAAGATAGATTTTTTTTTTTAGGAGAGGACTGAACTTAGAGAATATCCAAGGTGCCTACGTACCCCGAATGGGATCAAGTCATAACGTAGTTCAAAGAAAAAAGATAGATTTTTTTTTTAGGAGAGGACTGAACTTAGAGAATATCCAAGCTGCCTACGTACCCCGAATGGGATCAAGTCATAACGTAGTTCAAAGAAAAAAAGATAGATTTTTTTTTTTTTTTTTAGGAGAGGACTGAACTTAGAGAGTATCCAAGCTGCCTACGTACCCCGAATGGGATCAAGTTATAACGTAGTTCAAAGAAAAAAGATAGATTTTTTTTTTTTTTAGGAGAGGACTGAACTCAGAGAATATCCAAGCTGCCTACGTACCTCGAATGGGATCAAGTCATAACGTAGTTCAAAGAAAAAAGATAGATTTTTTTTTTTTTTTTTTTTTTAGGAGAGGACTGAACTTAGAGAATATCCAAGCTGCCTACGTACCCCGAATGGGATCAAGTCATAACGTAGTTCAAAGAAAAAAAGATAGATTTTTTTTTTTTTTAGGAGAGGACTGAACTTAGAGAGTATCCAAGCTGCCTACGTACCCCGAATGGGATCAAGTCATAACGTAGTTCAAAGAAAAAAGATAGATTTTTTTTTTTTTTTAGGAGAGGACTGAACTTAGAGAATATCCAAGCTGCCTACGTACCCCGAATGGGATCAAGTCATAACGTAGTTCAAAGAAAAAAAGATAGATTTTTTTTTTTTTTTTTTTTTTTTTTTTTTTTTTTTTAGCCGTGCACAGTTTCAACTCATGCGGGCTAGGAGCCTTCTCCTCCACTTCATGCATAGTACCGCTTCATTTGTGTATGCTTCTTTGACGACATAAGGACCATCCCACTTTGAAGTAAATTTATTTCCCGTTTTATGAGTGACGATGATGGGCCTCCTTACGGCAAGTACCAAATCTACAACTTGAAACGATCTTGGCCGCACCTTCTTGTTAAACGCCCTAGAAAGACGAGCTTGGTAGCATTCAATACTTTGTTGTGCCTCTAATCTTTTCTCGTCAAGAGCTTCCAATTCTGCAAGACGCAAACGGGCATTTTCTTCTTGAGTGAGTTCTTCTTGTATAGCTATCCTCAATGATGGAATTTGTTTTTCAAGAGGAAAGACCGCTTCCACACCGTACACCAACGCATATGGAGTGGCTTGAGAAGGTGTTCTATACGTTGTTCTATAAGCCCATAAAGCTTCTCCCATCCTTTCGTGCCAATCGCGTTTTGACTTGGCAATCACTTTCTTCAGCAAATTACATAAAGTCTTGTTGAAGGCCTCGGCGAGTCCATTGGCGGCAGCGTTGTACATTGAAGACTTTCTTTGCTTGAAGCCAAACTTTTCACAAAGTTTATCTATCACACCGTTGCAGAATGGCTTTCCGTTGTCTGTGATCACATATCGAGGAACTCCGTAACGGTAGATGATGTTGACGCGGATGAAATCGGCAACATTCTCCTTTTTTACTTCTCGAAGAGGCACTGCTTCAGCCCATTTGGAAAAGTAGTTTGTTGCTGCCAAGATATAGAGATGTCCAGCGGAAGACTTTGTCATAGGTCCAACAACATCCAAACCCCAAGCATCAAAGGGCCATGAGGCAACAGTAGGGTGTAATGGCTCCGGCGGTTGATGAATAAAGTTTGCATGAAATTGACAAGGTTGACATTTTTGGGCATACTCCATGCAATCCTTTACCATAGATGGCCAATAATAACCCATTCATTTTATTCGGAAATGTAATTTGGGTCCTGACTGATGGGCGCCGCAAATTCCGGAATGAGCTTCTTCTATGGCTTGAATGGCTTCGCCATCACCTAAACATCTCAAGAAGACTCCATCAAATGAACGTCTGTAAAGTGTATCTTTGTAGTAGATGAAACGAGCCGCACGACGTCGAATATCAACTCTTTGATGTGGATCATTAGGCAACTTTTCGTACTTCAAGTAATCCACAAATGATTGACGCCAATCTTCCTTCTCGATTTCAAACACGTAAACCACTCGAGTTTCGTCTTCTTCAATTTCTCCATGTTCAACGATTGGTGGTACGACCCACCTCTTGAAAATTGATATATGAGCTCCGTCTTCGGGCATGGCTAAAGTAGAAGCAAGTTTTGCCAATGCATCTGCTTGTTTGTTATCATTTCTAGGCACATGTTCTATCGTCACATCACCAAGGTATCCGATAAGTCTTTTAGCATAATCGACATAAGGGAGTAAATCGAGCTTCTTAACTTCGTATGATCCGAGTATCTGATTGATCACCAACTTGGAGTCTCCATATACCTCCAATTTTAGTTGCTTTATATCAACTGCCATTTCTAGCCCAAGGATAAGAGCTTGATATTCAGCAACATTGTTAGAGCAATTTTGTGTTAAGGTAAAAGAGTGAGGCAACACTTCGCCGTTGGATGTGACAAATACTACTCCGGCGCCCGCTCCTTCTCTGTGAGAAGCTCCATCAAAGTACATTTTCCAAGGAGGACTAGCTTCAATCACAAGAACATCTTCATCGGGTAGATCATCGGATAACTCCCACTCTGCAGGGATAGGATGATCTGCCAAGAAATCGGCTAGGACTTGCCCTTTCACAGCCTTTTGTGGAATATATGTTATGTCAAACTGCTGCAATTGTAGGTACCACCTTGCGAGTCTGTCGGATAGGACGGGTTTTGACATAACATACTTTAGAGGATTCATCCTTGAGATGAGGCGGACAACATGTGCTTGAAAATAATGCTTCAACTTTTGAATTGCAAAAATGAGCGCTAAGCATGTCTTTTCGATTGGCGAGTAGTTCAATTCATTTGGTGTCATTGTTCTACTCAAGTAGTATAAGGCGCTCTCTTTTCCATCATCATTCTCCTGGGCTAGTAAAGCCCCGACGGATCAATCTTGAGCAGCAGTATAGAGTATTAACGATTGTCCGGGCACTGGTGCAATCAACACAGGAAGCTTCGTTAAATACGATTTTATACTTTCAAAGGCACTAGTGCAAGCTTCATCCCATTCAAAGGGAACATTTTTCTTCATGAGTCGGCTGAATGGTTGACATCGACCGGCTAAGTTTGAAATGAACCTTCTTAGGTATGCCAACTTTCCTTGCAAACTTTTGAGCTCATGAATGTTCCTAGGCTCGCGAATCTTTAAAATTGCATCAATCTTGGCTTGTTCGATTTCTATGCCTCGGTGACGAACTACGAATCCAAGAAACTTCCCCGAAGTAACACCAAATGCACATTTCAATGGATTCATCTTCAACTGGTACCTTCTCAAGCGCTCGAAGACTTTTCTCAAATTTTGGAGATGATCTTCCCTTCTTTTGGATTAAACTACCAAGTCATCCACATAACATTCAACATCTTTATGGAGCATGTCATCAAATATCTTTTGCATGGCTCTTTGGTATGTAGCACCGGCATTTTTCAAGCCAAATGGCATCACTTTATAGCAATAGATGCCCTTAGGAGTGTGAAAGGCTGTTAATTCTTCGTCTCTCGGCGCCATTCGTATTTGATTGTATCCTGATGACCCATCCATAAATGATAATGCTTCGTGGCCCGTAGTAGCATCAATCATTAGTTCGGCTATTGGCATTGGAAAGTCGTCCTTAGGGCATGCTTCGTTCAAATCTCTAAAGTCAACACATACACGAATTTGTCCATTCTTCTTTCTGACAGGGACAATACTTGAAATCCATGTTGGGTACTTGACTTATCGAATGAAACCAACATCAATAAGTTTATTCACTTCAGCCTCAATTGCAGGGACTAATTCAGGTCTAAATCTACGTTGGCCTTGCTTTACAGGGCGAGCTCCTTTCTTCACGGAGAGATGATGTATTGCCACTTTTGGGTCCAATCCGGGCATTTCTTTAGAAGACCATGCAAACACATCCTTGAACTCGTGCAACAATTCAATATAAGTCTCCTCTTCGTTGACAGCCAGTAAAGCGCTAATGTAGATTGGTCGAGGATTCTCCGCATCTCCTAAATTAATCTCATTTAACTCATCGATGGTGGCTTTGACTCCTTCTTCAAGCTCGGGTGGAGCAATTTCAGCGTCTTCCTCCTCAATCACGTCTATTTCACTTAAAGTGATATGATACGATGATGCCACACTTTCTCTGTCATCTTCCTCGTCGTCTTGGATTTTTGTAAAGACGACAGTTCGCATTTTAGCCTTCAACTCTTCACCACATGTTATGGTCAAATAAGTACGCCGTTTCATGCGAGATGGAATTGAACTTCGAATCCTTCGTGTTTTGGTGATTTTAGTATTAGAGACACCCACATCTTGCTTGTTCTTTCTGTTATGCCCCCACTTTCTAAGTGGTCCAAGCCTATCAACGACGGATGGCGTAAGTCTATCAAACCCTCGTTTGTCGCCTTTTTCATGCCCCCACTCTCTAAGTGGTCCAAGCCTATCAAAGACGGATGGCGCAAGTCTGTCGAAGACAGATGGTGTAAGCCTATCAAAGACGGATGTCCTTCTCACTTTTGTTCTACTTTCAAGAAAATCGTCTGTTGATGAGAATTCATCTTCGATTATGTAATTACTGGTAGCTCTATTGATAGCAATACGAATTGGCTTTTGTGGAACAAATCCAAGACCAACTCTAGGACTTTGAATAGCATGTCCCTTTTCTTTCAACATTATCTGAGTAGTATTGAGGCCATGCACCTTTTCGCCAACAACTTCGGCAGGAAGCCATCCAAGCGTAGAATCTTCACGTGGGTTGAAACCAGCTTTCACTAAGAGTTTATAAGCATTTGGGCCAAAACATTTTGTCATTTGGGACTCGGAGAATTCTTCGCATTCCTCTTGGGTTCCTTCTGTGGGATGAACAAATCCTTTAGGTGGTTGAGAAGTTGATCGCTTCTCGTCAATTGGTGTTAGGGGAAACATCAAATCTTTCAAAGCCTCACACGCTAAAGGAGCATTGTCTTGATTATTTCTTCGCTTTGGTTCTTCAACTGGTAGAATTTCTTTGGCCTTTACCGTCTTCTCATCATCAAGATAGTACTTAGCATCGGCAAAGTGGGCTTCTGCCTCGGTGAACGGTTTATCATCGGCGAGTATTATTTTAACTACTCCGTCTCGACAATACTTGAAACATTGGTGCCAAGAAGAAGGAACCACACTATTCTCATGTATCCAAGGTCGTCCGAGAAGCATGCGATATGAGGTTCTTGCATCAATGACATGGAACAGTGCGGTGGATAACATATCATCCATTAACAACTCTATCCTTATGATGCCAAGGGCCCTTTGTCCTTCTTGATTAAATCCTTGGATCATCAAGCGACTAGTTTTGAGCTCCTCCGTGGAGATTCCCAATTCCTTTAAAGTCTGCAACGGCAAAATATTGACTGCAGAACCTCCATCGATTAAAATCCTATTCACCTTCTGCTCACGGGCGTAGCCGGCAACAAACAACGGCCTATTGTGTGGTTTGGAACCAAGAAGTAAATCTTCATCAGCGAAAGTTATTGTTGACATGCATTTACCAATCACGGTACAAACTTCATTTGGAGACGGAGTCGTTCCACTAGCAGCGGTCTCCTTTTCAATTATCGCGTTGCATGAGATGTTGATACAATCATCATCTCCTCTGTGTAAGTTTGTTGTCGTCATGTCAAGGGACTCAAAAGTGGTGACGACAAAATTTGTAGTGGCGCTGATCTCTTCAAGTGATATCTTCCCTTGGCGAGCTAGCTGCATAACTTTATCTTTGAATACGAAGCAATCATGAATTGGGTGCCCGACCAACCGATGATACTTGCAGTATTTTGGGTCATCGGTCTTGTTAGCTTCTTCGGGGCGCTTCATTTCAGGCAATTCGATAAGTTTTAAACCTAGCAAATCGTCAAATATTCCAGCCACATCGGTGTCGAGGAATGGATATTCCCTTGCTTGCATTTCTTTTAGAGTAAGTCTTCTTCTTTCTTGGGAAAAATCTTGTTTTTCCTCATTGTTTCCGTTCACTTTCCCTTGAAATTTGATAGGGGTTGCATTCACTGCAAAGATTCTTTGCTTGAGGTCTTAGAGAAAACTCTACCCCCCTTCCGAATGTCTTGTTTTTCTTTGGACTGTCGAGGCTCTTGAACTGGTGGTCCCTCAACTCCACTAGCCATAATGCTCAACTCCATGTCATGCGCTCTAGTGGCCAACTCTTCGAAAGTCTTAGGTTGAATCCCTTGCAGGATATATCGGAGTCCCCATTGCATTCCTTGAATGCACATCTCGATAGCTGAAGGCTCTGACAATCGATCCTTGCAATTCAGGCTTAAATTCCTCCAACGGTTAATGTAGTCAATGACGGCCTCTTCTTTCCACTGGCAAGAGTTTGTGAGCTCGATCATGCTCACTGTTCTTCGGGTGCTGTAGAAGCGATTCAAAAATTCTTGCTCCATTTGACTCCAACTGTCAATTGAGTTCGGCTCTAGGTCCGTATACCAATCAAAAGCATTCCCCTTCAATGATCAGACGAATTGTTTCACGAGGTAGTCTCCAAAAGTCCCAGCATTGTTGCAAGTTTCAACAAAATGTGCCACATGCTGTTTTGGGTTGCCCTTGCCATCAAATTGCTGAAACTTCGGGGGTTGGCAACCAATTGGCATCTTCAAGTCGTCTACTCTTACAGTGTATGGCTTGGTGTATGTTGACGATGATTTTGAACCCTCATCGAATTTGTTCTTGATAGTTCCCATGATGAACTCCTTCAATTGGTCTATAGGAATCAACCCCTCTGACGAAACCTGTAATTCTTCAGCTGAGCTCTTCTCCCTATCGGTTGGATGTCGCCTTGCAGAAGTTTCAGCTTCGGTGTGATTTTCACCTTGTTTTCCCATGTCGTGACTACCGTCAACTTTGTTCCTCAATATCGCAATTTGGGAGTCTTGTTCTTGAATGTGTTTTGTTATCCCTTCAATGGCCTTGGTCAAGCTCGCCATTTGCTCCTCCATGGTCGTAGCATGTGTTGTCATGACGGGGGCCACCTCAGAGTAGTTTGATGTCGAACGGGACGTGGATGATGAAGCTTCTCCTCTAGATCCTTCCACGTCTTCACCTGTGTTGACGAGAGGTGATGAGCCTTTCTCAATGATTTGCGGTGTCGAGCTAGTCTCGGAGGATGCCTGCAGTTTCTTAGCCATACTCCTTGTAACTACGCCTACACTTGATGAATTCGAAGTAGCAGCCTTCATCGCGAGCGGTTACCGTAACACTTCGAGGATCTTCGATAGAGAGAAGAGATGAGAGGTAGAGATGTCCCACCAGGCGTGCCAAAATTTGTAACAACAAATTCTTATCTGCGATATAAACAAACAAGAAAAATTGAACAAAGATAATTTTTTATTGAATTGAAATAAATAAATTGCGGGTTACAATCTCTATTTTAATCATCTAATTCTTCTCTCTAGAACAATATATGGTTGACTTGAATTTTCGGAGTCGAGTCATTGACTTGATCTTCTCCGGATTTGATTTTGGATTTGAATAACGTTTTCCAAGGGTCTTGCGACTTGAATCTCGGATCGAACGTTGAACTTTGACTAAATTTGACTTGAAGATCTTGAAATTCTTGATGGATTTGGCCCTTCAATCTTCCAATGATCTTGACTTGAATTGATTAACGTTAATCCGAAGGTTTGGCACCGTTATCTCGGATCGAACGCTGGATTTGATGAAGAATGCCTTGAATTTACTCAAGAACACCTCGAATTTGACGAAGAACGCTTTGAATGTAGAGAGAGAATCTTATCTCCTACGAATTCTTCTTCCTTGCTTCTTGAATTGTAGAGAGAACTTTTGCTCCGACGGTTTCTGCTCCTTCAGTTGTGTGTTTTGAATTGTGAAGGGAGGGTCCCTATTTATAGTGGTAGAATAAGAGTCCTTGATGGGCGTCACTGATGATGTGGCGCGATTTGATTGGCCCAATTTAAATTGATATCTATCTCTTGTAACTTGGAAGAGAAGAAACAATTCTATTGGCCAATAATTAATTGATATTTATCTCTTTATAACTTGGGAGAAAAGAAATAATCTTATTGGCCAATATATATTTAATATCAATTATTTATTTAAATTAGAAATTAATTTAATTAAATTCCAAAATATATAATTGATAAAAATATATATATGTGACCGCATATATACGGGTCTTCAATTGGCATCTAAGTCCTTTGGCTATGTATAATTACACAAATGTCATTGGATCAAACTTTATTCCATAGATAATTTAGCCATTTAATTGGCTTAAATTTTATTCGTCTACAGAACCGTTTGAGAGATGGAGAGAGAGAGAGAGAGAGAGAACGTGGGAGAATATTAAAAGAATGAAATAAATATGGATTGGAGAAACGTGAATATGTAGGTTAGAGAATTTAGGTTAAAAGGGCAAAATAGGGATTAAAAAAAATTTAGGGATGTGGCTCATATATTATTTGAAACTAAGGATTTAACTAAAAAAATGAATTTCGACTTGTTATTTAGTTCAAATTAGGTTTCGTTTGAGGGACTTATAGCATATTACCCCTATTAATAAGAAATGTTATATGGTATGCTTTGATCATTACTTTTAAAATTTTCTCCCAAATTACTGAAAATATAATTAAGCAAATCATAATAAATATTAATTGACGAATAGGTTGGTATGTATTTTTGGAAAAAATAAATAATATGGAATTATAGTGTAAATGGAAATCCTATAAAATTTTATAAACTGTGGCCACATAGAAAAAATGAACCAATGAAAATGAATATTTTGTCTATGTATGCGATTGAAAAAAAAGAAAAGGATCTAATCATCCAATAAATTACATCAATTTGACACATATGAGAGATAAAAGTTGAAATATACTAATAGGAAACTTTGTCTCTCAGAAAATTGTACAAAAAAGTCAAGAATTTTGGTGTATATGATAATTGGGAGGTTTTGGAACTAATATAATTTAATGAGATCGGTATTAGTACTGCTATTAGTATTAGTATTAATATTAGTATTAGTGTTTGTATTCATTGTACTTGCAATAATTGTAAATTTGATTTCGATAAAAAATAGTCGAGGTCAATGAAGTTGTTGTAATATAAAAAAGTAATTCATGTATCTCTTGATTTTTAATATATATATATATATATATATATATATATATATATATGTCTTCATCTTTTATTAAATCTATTTGAGATTGTTGGATTTTATTGTTCTGCCCGAATACGAGAGATATTGATTTGGACCCTTTATTAATTATATAATGCAATACATGTAATTTTTGTATGTGAAAACATAGTATGCACTTTGATTTGGGAAATAATGTCTTATATTTTATAATTTGTCAATTGTTCACACTTCAATTTTAATCTTTGCTTATTTGATTTTAAAATCTTATGTCCCTGCATTTTATCTTTTAAAATTTTATATAGTGTTTATTATTCAATTATTGTTGTTTATGTACTACTTGTATTGAACTAATATAAATTTCTTTAAATGTGTTTGATAACCTAACTGTTTATGCACCTCATTTATCTTCATTTTTGTAAAGATTTAAATGTGAAGATATAATTAAAACAATATTTTATTTTCCAAATAGAAGTTTTTACATGTTTTGTAATTACAGTGTTATCATCATTAATAGGATCTACTCGAGAAAAGTTCAAGTAACTTAAAAAAATCTATGAATTTTTCAGAAAAAATAAATTGTAAAGGAATTAAAATACGTATATCACCGTTATATTCTGCAAATATTTATTTAAAATTAAAGTTTACGGATTTGCAAATATTTATTTATAATTATAGTTTAGGGATTTAAAGGTCAAAAGAAAAAAAATAATCTGCCAACAATATTTATTTCATAAATAGTTGTTTGCATAACAATAGTTTAAGAATGGAAAAAATTAGCGGCTCAAGAATGAATGTTTTTTTTTAGGTTTTGAATTTCCTCCAAATAAAGCTTTATTTATAGATGAGATGTCGTTGTAATGATAAAAATCACAAACACAAACATAAAGCAATAATATAATACTCTTTTTAGTCTTTTTTAAGTTTAAAATGACGTCCCAAAAACAGTATCCGAGTCAGAAGAAGATGTGCCCACGTATATTGAATCAGAAGAAGAGCTCATTCTTCTTGCAGGTCTTGGGAATTTTTGGGCCGACAAAATAATCCAGGATTGGGTTGCCTTTCACAAGTTCATGAATTATCGTCTTCCCCACTTCAAGAAGAATCAAATAACTGAAAATCTACATTGGATGAGACTAAAATTCAGAAAAATTAAGGAAAAATGGCGTTTTCGTAAATTTGCATCAAACAATCACGATTCTGATGTTGAAAAGTAAAAAATACAGAAGAAGTAAATATGAATATAATGTTATTTTTTGCTAGTAAAATAAAAATAAATATAATTGAAATGAATTCAACGTAAGAAATTTTTCTAACATAATTTTATACAATCTTATTTAATAACCATTTCACATCCTTATAGAAGGGAAGGTGTAGTGGTCCACCAAGACGGAAATCAAGTGAAAAAAAATTGAATAGAAAATTAGATTACAAATAGAGGAAGAAAATAAAAAAAAAATCATATTAAAAGAAATATGCGTGTAATTATTTGTGAAATGAAAAGGAGATATTGATGTTTCATCAACAATTTCCATATAAGTACGTGAATTTTTATGGTACAATTTGATCATTAAATTCTAGATTAGTTACCATATAATTATACACGGGATATATGATTAATTTGTGACATATTTTGTGATTAATTGTCTGATTTGTTGACAAATTATAGAAATAAAATTGTCAAATTTAAATTAAATGTTATACGGTATACTTTGATCATTAATTTCAAGATATTCTCCCGGTAGTGAAAATAAAATTGTGGTTTTTGTGCATAAGTCCCAAATCAAACATGTTTATTATT